AAATCCTTCTGAGTAGCACTAGTGAAACTTCCTGCGAGGCTACTGGTTCTCCTCCAGTTTAGGTGCAACCTGTCCCTCTTGTACATGTCAGCCCTGCCCAGAAGAGGTCCCAGTGATCCAAGAACCTGAAACGCTGCACTAGCTCCCTAGCCATGCATTCGTTCTTTTGTATCTTTCTATTCCTTGGCTCACTAGCCAATGGCCCAAGTAGTAACGCAGGTCCTGCTTTTCAGTGTCTTTCCTAACTCCCTGCACTCACTCCACAGGACCCCATTCCTCTTTCTACCTATGTCGTTGGTAGACAGGATAGAGAAAAAGGCACCACCCACGCCCTCCACCTCCTCCAAAACTTCCAATTCCCTGGTCCCCAACACCTCATCTTTACCATGGACGTCCAGTCCCTATACACCTGCATTCCCCATGCAGATGGCCTAAAGGCCCTCCGCTTCTTCCTGTTCCACAGGCCCGACCAGTCCCCCTCCACCGAAACCCTCATCTGCTTAGCCGAACTCATCCTCGCCCTCAACAACTTCTCTTTCAATTCCTCCCACTTCCTACAGACAAAGAGGGTGGCCATGGGTACCCACATGGGCCCAAGCTATGCCTGCCTCTTTGTAGGTTACATGGAACAATCCCTCTTCCGTAGCTACGCGAGCCCTAAACCCCACCTCTTCCTCCGTTACATTGATGACTGTATCGGCGCCACCTCGTGCTCCCACGAGGAGCTCGAACAGTTCATCCACTTCACCAACACCTTCCACCCCAACCTTAAATTCACCTGGACCATCTCTGATACCTCTCTCTCCTTCCTGGACCTCTCTGTTTCCATCTCTGGCAACCACCTGGAAACTGATATCCATTTCAAGCCCACCAACTCTCACAGCTATCCAGAATACACCTCCTCCCACCCACCTTCCTGCAAAAATGCCATCCCCTATTCCCAATTCCTTCGCCTCCGCTGCATCTGCTCCCAGGATGAGGCATTCCACTCCCGAACATCTCAGATGTCCTTGTTTTTCAAGGACCGCAACTTCCCCCCCCCCTTCAGTGGTCGAGAACGCCCTCAACCGTGTCTCCCGCATTTCCCGCAACTCATCCCTCACACCCCCTCCCGGCAATAACAACCAAAACAGAATCCCCCTCGTCCTCATGTACCACCCCACCAACCTCCGGATCCAACGCATCATCCTCCGACACTTCTGCCATCTGCAATCCGACCCCACCACCAAAGACATTTTTCCTTCCCCACCGTTATCTGCTTTCTGGAGGGACCACTCTCTCCAGGACTCCCTTGTCCGCTCCACACTCACCTCCAGCCCCACCAAACCCGGCACTTTTCCTTGCAACCGCATGAAGTGCTATACCTGCCCCTACACCTCACCCCCATCCTAGGCCCCAAGAAGACTTTCCACATCAAGCAGATATTCACCTGCACATCTGCTAATGTGGTATACTGCATCTGCTGTTCCCGTTGTGGCCTCCTCTACATCGGGGAAACCAAGCGGAGGCTTGGGAACCGCTTTGCAGAACACCTACGCTCGGTTCGCACTAAACGACTGCACCTCCCAGTCGCGAACCATTTCAACTCCCCCTCCCATTCCTCAGACGACATGTCCATCCTGCAGTGCCACAACGATGCCACCCGAAGGTTGCAGGAACAGCACCTCATATTCCGCTTGGGAACCCTGCAGCCCAATGGTATCAATGTGGACTTCACAAGCTTCAAAATCTCCCCACCCCTACCGCATCCCAAGAGCAGCCCAGCTTGTCCCCGCCTCCTTAACCTTTCCTTCCTCCCACCTATCCCCTCCTCCCACCTCAAGCCCCACCCCACTCTCCTACCTACTAGCCTCATCCCGCCCCCTTGACCTGTCCGTCCTCCCTGGACGGACCTATCCCCTGCCTAACTCCCCACCTACACTCACCTTTATTGGCTCCATCCCCGCCTCTTTGACCTGTCTGTCTCCTCTCAACCTATCTTCTCCTCTATCCATCTTCTATCCGCTTCCCCCTCTCTCCCTATTTATTTGAGAACCGCCTTCCCCTCCCCATTTCTGAAGAAGGGTCTAGACCCGAAATGTCAGCTTTCCTGCTCCTCTGATGCTGCTTGGCCTGCTGTGTTCATCCAGCTCCACACTTGTTATCTATAGAGAAAAAGGCGTTTGGTATGCTTGCCTTTATTGGTCAGTGCACTGAGTACAGGATTGGGATGTCATATTGTGGCTGTACGGGACATCAGTTAGGCCACATTTGGAATACTGTGTTCAGTTCTGGTGTCCCTGCTATAGGAAAGATGCTGTTGAATTTGAAAGCGTTCAGAAAAGATTTATAAATATGTTACCTGAGTTGGAGGGTTTAAGCTATAGGGAGAGGCTGAATAGGCTGGAGCTATTTTCCCTGGAGGCTGAGAGGTGACCTTATCGAGCTTTGTAAAATCATGAGGGGCATAGATAGAGTGAATAGACAAGGTCTTTTCCCCAAGGTAGAGGAGTCCAAAACTTGTGAGCATACATTTAATGTGAGAGGGGAAAGATATGAAAGGGACCTAAGAGGCAACTTTTTCACACAGAGTGTAGTGCGTGTATCGAATGAGCTGCCCGAGGAAGTGGTCGAGGCTAGTACAGTTACAACATTCAAAAGGCATCTGGATAGGTTTATGAATAGGAAGGGTTTAGAGGAGTATGGGCCAAATTTTGACAAATGGGATATCTGGTTGGCATGGATGAGTTGGACTGAAGAGTCTGTTTCCATGTTGTACATCTCTATGACTGTATGTAACATATCAATTTTAGAATGCTGATCCTCAATTTTCAAATCCCTCCATGGTCTGCTCCCTCCCTAAGTAATCTCTCCCAGATCTAATATCCTTGGAAATATTTTTGCTCTAATGGTGTTCCCTTAGGTATACCTGGTTTTAATCACTCCCACTTTGATCACACTTTCAAGTTCTGAAATGTCTTCCCCAAATCTCTCTGCCTCTTGACCTCCCCTTTCTCTCTTCATCAAATTTCTGAACATCTTCCAAATGTAATCTTCTGTGTGTCAGTGTCATATGTAGTTTTATAGTGCCTGCGTGGAATACTTTTGGAATGTTTTATTATGTTAAGGGCTCCACGTAAGTTGTGTTATTGATATTGTTGGTGCAAACAGCACAGAGGGCAGTGTGAAGCTGGAGGAATACAGCAGGCCGGGCAGCATTAGAGGAGCAGGAAAGTTGATGTAACAAAAAGTTGCTGGAAAAGCTCAGCAGGTCTGGCAGCATCTGTGAAGGAAAAAACAGAGTTAACATTTTGGGTCCAGCGACCCTTTCTCAGAACTGAAACGTTAACTCTGTTTTCTCCTTCACAGATGCTGCCAGACCTGCTGAGCTTTTCCAGCAACTTTGTTTTTGTTCCTGATTTATAGCATCCACAGTTCTTTCAGTTTTTATTTAGGAAAGTTGGAATATGAGGTGTTGCTTCTCCACTCCCTGGGTGACATGTCCATCCTGGGCCTCTTCCAGTGTCACAAAGACACCACCCACAAACTGGAGGAGCAACACCTCATATTCCGCCTTGGGAGCCTACAGTCCAATGGCCTAAACATGGAATTCACCAGTTTTAAAATCTCCCCACCCCTGGCCTCATCCCATGTCTAACCTTCCCTGTCAACCCCGCCTCCTTGGCCTGACACAACCTGTGCATCTTCTCTCCCACCTATCCGCCCCAACCATCCCACTGACCAATCCCAACTACTCCCTGCCTGCACTCACCTATCACCATCCCACCTACCTTCCCCATCCCCACTCCTCGTCTCTCTATTTATTTCCCAGCTCCCTTCCCCCTCCCCATTTCTGAGGAAGGGTCCTGACCCAAAATGTCAACTTTCCTGCTCCTGTGATGCTCCCTGGCCTGCTGTGTTCCTCCAGCTCCACACAGTGTTGTCACTGACTGCAGCATCTGCTGTTCTTGCTATCTCACAGTTAGAGGATACAATGGGAATTGAGAATGTGACCAGTTTTATAAGCTGGCTTTTTTGGATAGAGAGTTTGATGGACAGAGATAAAAGACCAGAGAAACTTAATTGTTTTCTCAGTATATATGTGACTCACTTAGAGTATAATTTTAAATTTAAACTTTAATCACTGTTTAAATAACCAGATTAAGTTTTCATTTTCTGCTAAGGTTTCATTTCCAATAGAGAGCAGAAATCAATTCAGTTGTGTGCAGAAAGGATATTAGATTTTACTGCAAGAATTCCAGAGAATGTCACCATGTAGAGTATTGTATAGAGAAATGGTTAGACAACAAGGAGTTATAATTTTTAACCGTTTTGGGGCACATGTGTTATCCTAACTTCATACCAAGCTTGAATATTTTGATTTTGATTTTGATTTTATTGTCACATGTACTCATACAAAAGTACGGGAATAGTGAAAAACGTATAATGTCGCGACAAATACAAGTGCCTAGCCTCAAAATCTTAAGAACAAGATAGAAAAGAAGAACAAAGTTAAATATTGCAGTGATTATAGTACTGATATCTTCTTAGTATTAAGTAGAAAAATAAGGAAATAAAGCTGAAAGTTCAAACATTGTAGTCTTTCTTAAGAGCTTTGCTATGGTGGGACCATACTTAAAGGAATCACCTTGAAACCAGAAGTCAATGCTAGACTATGCCAGGCTGTACTATGTACTATGTACTGCCAAAAGAACACCACACCAGACCACTGAGTGTCGGCCACACAGACTATAAGAAATATTATGTAATCTGTGGCACAGTTTTATTCTCTAAAACCGTTCTCACCATTTTCCTCTATTTTGTTTCCTTTTTGGGTGCTGGTTTTAACTAGGAAATAATAGATATGTAAAGATATAAGTGTTACCCTGTTGAGATATTGTCAGATTTTCCTCTTTAGAAATATTTAATTGAGAAAATATGTTGGCGTTTGTTTACAAGGTCTGTTTCTTTGATGTATTCATTGGGCCTTCTAAAGTGGTATGTTTTAAAATTCATTACAGATCTTGCTACTGTTGTTGGTTACCTGGTTGTAAGCCGACCTTTCTTGAACCTTTCTCACCCTCGCCATCTGCAAAGTAATCATGCTGAACTGCTGGAGGTAAATGTTGATTGGGTGTTCGTCACTGCACATAAGTGCAGAAAGGGGCCATTTATTGCTTGTAAATATGAAAAAAATCAGTTTTTGTTCATTTCAGATTGATCAAGGTAAAATTCAGTTTTCTTTTTAAAGTTGATTGGGGCTTGCTTGCTTTCTTAGGATTACTATCAAAGTGGTCGTATGTTACTGAGAATGTCTCAGGCACTTGGAAGAATTGTGCTGGCTGGTCGTGAGATGACAAGATTGTCTGGGTAAGCTCAGTGTAGTTAGCTAGATTTCTAGTTCTTATTTTAAGGTATTTACCTTTTTTATTCCTGTTAATCAAGGTTGAAGTTGACTCAAAATTGCTTTGTTTTCTAAAAAAACAATAGCAAGAGAACCCATTTTATCAAGCAATGTTTTAATGTACGATAATATTTTTCAATAATTTTTTATCTTGTTGGAAAACAAGTTAGCCAATCTGTTCTTTGAGACTGTTTCCATTTTCATTTGGATTATGACTGCTTTGTACTTCTACACTTTTTTTCATCCTTCTGCCTTGGTGCCCTTGCTGAATAGAAATATATTAAACATTGCTTTAAAAAAAAGCATGAAGTTGAAGCTTTCTTGCACTTATCAAGCCTAAACCACAAGAAAATCAACTTTAGAAAGCAAACAGTAATTATAAAGCAGGACACGTTCACTATCTTGGTTAACTGATTAAATTAAAAACAGGCAAGTTGACTCTGGTTAGGATGTTGCCATGGGATGCAGCATAGCCTTTCTTCAGTGATAAAAGTGCAATGTGTGGACGTATTCCTTTTGTCTACAAAGTGCAGGTCCCTGTCTGTGTATGAATGTAGCTTCTAACGTGCACAAATGAAATGCATTGTGAGCCTAACTGATTAACACAAATTGTTTTTGAGTGTACTTCTTAGTACAATGAAATTATTTGCCAAATATTGGCCAAAAGTAGAATAACATCTAATGTTGGACACAGCATTCTGTGTTTTACAAATATGGGCTGGTTGAGCACAGTCAGCATGCTGCTCACTCCGGACAGTCGAATGAAAATTGCCTTGCACTAGGTAGTAATAGAAAACGCATTGGCAGATTTCTCAATTAGGATCTGGTTTGACGACTCCATTTCAAATGTAATGGCACAGTAGTTAACACTGCTACCTCACACAATGCCTGGATTCAGTTCCAGCCTTAGGTGACTGTGTGGAGTTTGCACATTCTCCCTGTGTATGCGTGGGTTTCTGCTGGTCTCCTCCATAGTCTAAAGATGCACAGGTTAGGTGGATTGACAATGCTAAATTGCCCCGTAGTGTCAAAGGATGTGCAGGCTAGGTGGATTAGCAGGGTTATGGGGATAGGCTGGTAAATGTGGGGTTATGTGGATAGGATGGGTCTGTCTGGGATGCTCTTTTGGGCTGGTGCAGATTCAGTGGGCCAAATGGCCTCTATCTGCACTGTAGGCACTCTGATTCCAATTGTAATTTGAGTGCAGGATGAAGTCTATTAAGGAGTCTAAATAAATTGTTCGTTCACATTGCAGAAATTTCAAATATTATTTATATTTAGCTTCACAGCTCGAATCACTGAATTAATGCAAGTTTTGAAAGAATTAAATAGTGGAAAATATGAACGCACAATGGTTTCCCATCAGGATAAAGGTGAGTATTTTAAAAAATATGGTGCACGTGGAGGTTTTTGATTATGGCAAGCATAAACTTTATTACAAATAGTATCCTGTAAATAGTTTTTAATCTGGTATTTTGAGTTGTATAGAAGTTACATATGTTTTTAGTTCTGGGTCCTTGACTCATGTTAAATTAGCCTGGAGAACAGTCAGATATTGAAAAAGTAAATTACTGCAGATGCTGAAAATCTGAATTAATAACAGATAATGCTGGAAATACTCAGCAGGCCAGGCAGATCTGTTAAGCAGAGAAAAGCAGAGTTGAAATTTCATGTTAATGACCTTTCATCAGAACAACCAGTTAATTGGCCTTAAACATTAAGCTCAAAAACAAAAACAAAGTTGCTGGAAAAGCTCAGCAGGTCTGGCAGCATCTGCGAAGGAAAAAACAGAGTTAATGTTTCGGGTCCGGTGAACCTTTTCCTCAGAACTGATGGCGGCTGGGAAAACGTCAGTTTATATACAGAAAATAGGGAGGTGGGTCGGACAGGGAGTAAACGATAGGATAGAGCCTTAAGAGAGAGAAAGACAGTCTCTCTCTCTTTTTTCTCTCTTAAGGCTCTATCCTATCGTCTCTAAAAGAGAGACTGTCTTTCCCTCTCTTAAGGCTCTATCCTATCGTTTACTCCCTATCTCAACCACCTCCTTATTTTCTGCAAATAAACTGACGTTTTCCCAGCCGCCATCAGTTCTGAGGAAGGTTCACCGGACCTGAAATTTTAACTCGTTTTTTCCTTCACAAATGCTGCCAGACCTGCTGAGCTTTTCCAGCAACTTTGTTTTTGTTCATGGTTTACAGCATGTGCAGTTCTTTCGGTTTTTATTTAAACATTAAGCCAGTGGGTTGTAAAAGCTGGTTTTAGTGACTCCTTGGAATGGGGAAAGAAAGGCAACCTGAGTGCACAATTTTGATTCCTATCTAGTGATTACTGCCGAAATTTGCATATTTGTGAACATGAGGCAAGGAGATGATCAACTTCCATGATAGAATAATCTCCCAAGTAAAGAAATTACCTCTTTGGCCAAAAAACAAATGGCTTTTAGTCCCCGCGCAACTAAACCACAACAACTATTGATGCCCCTGGTAATGGACAAAACACTGCGGAGCTGACAAAACAACCAGCACAAAATGTCAAAATACTACCATGTATTATTAACTTTAACATGCACATGTAAGATATATTGTACTTAGTCATAAAGTTTATACTTGATCTGTAATTTCTCTATCAAGGTTCCACAAGTCAGCCTTTGATACCTGGGAGTGGGGAGATCATTATTATGGATCATGTTATCAAGTAAGTATAATGCTGTATACTTAAATTGTGGGCTGCAGTATCAATTTATATACTTCACTAAATCAGGCCAATTATTTCAGTTGATTGTTGATCGTTGTTGCATGATTTTGTGGAGAAATCTTTTTATAGACACTTTTTTGGCAAACCATTACACAGTTCTAAGTATTTTTTCCCCAAATGGATAAATAATTACTGAAATCTATATTCAATAATTTAGTTAAAAATTGTTATACAAGTATGTAGCAGAAAAGGGTTAATAGAAAAAAGTTTTCATTACTCTTGCTTTCTAATGTTATTGAAAAGTGATGCAAGACATTTTCTCCTCTTTAGATTTGAACATGTGCCATTGGTGACACCTAATGGGGATGTTTTGATTCCAGACCTCTCTTTTGAGGTAAACAGTAAATCTATTATTTGGATTTCCTTGTACTTGGATACTGTTGATAATTGTTGGTTCAACAGTTTTTGCTGACTGAACCAGGATCAATCTGATATGAAAGCTAAAATTCTGCAGATAAAATTCTACTGGAAAGCTGAACAGGCAATATCTGTGGAGAGAGATCCACTGATCTGAATCTTATGTTTGATTTACACTAAGATCTGTATGCAAGCCAATTCTTTAGACTAATTTGTGGATAGCATTATAGGTGACAGCCATTATTAAGAATGATTAATAAGAGAAAGGATGGGCAAACTTTGTACTCCACTGTAGATCATATTCTGGTGAACTGTAGCATAATCAAAAAAGCAAGAGTTTTGGGTGCTGATTGTTGGACTAATAGTGGTACAGTACTTAATGCAGTTGAGTCAGCATTTTCACCATTGCATGATTTATAACATTGCATGTTCACCTGTAGGTTTAAACTATTAACCTCTTAATGGGTGCACTTTTTGATTTTGCTGTTTGGGACGAGAATTGTTTGCAGTATAAAGCAAACAATTTAAGGTTCTCTTTAAGAAAAGCAAAATGTTTGGTATGTTTAACTTTCACTTGAAGATGCACTAAGCAGGAAGTGTTTTTGAAAAATGCCTTGCATGAAAATTTGTTCTCATTCTCAATCTCATTCAGGTAAAGTCAGGAGCAAATGTCCTAGTCTGTGGTCCAAATGGATGTGGGAAGAGCTCACTTTTCCGTTGTTTAGGAGAGGTAAGTGCAAACACAGTCAAAATGACAAAGAATGTTCAAATATTTGTTTTATCCTAAGTAGTACTTACATGCAAAGTTAAATTTTCTTTCTTTTCATAGTTATGGCCCCTATTTGGAGGACGTTTGACAAAACCAGATAGAGGGAAGTTGTTTTACGTACCACAGGTAGGAATGGCTTATCTTCTTGGGTCTTGATTTACTTAATTGCATAGATCATATTTTTCATATTAATTTCATTTAACTCAATATGTCTATCTATAATATTATCAGCCCTTGGCAGATTTTATGTACACTCAATAATACATTGCCATTTTTATCTTGAACAATTTGCAAAATCATCAAATTTTCAGTTTGTTCAGGTCCCTTGATAAAATTCCCTTCATGTAAAATAAAGTGTGAGGAAGAACATTACAAGTTGGCAATTTGTTAAAACAGTGCTTCCCAAACTTTTTCCCACTGTGACTCAATCACACAGCATGATAATCGTCACAACCCTTGAGTGAGAACTGAAAGAACTACAGGTATGGTCTGTTAGAGGGAAAGTACAGCTGTCATAACTTGTTCAATTACTAAGCACCAATTGCTGTCACAGTGCTCGTAACACCACTTGGGGACCCAATCCCCACTTTGGAAAGCCTGCGCTGAATACACGTGCAAAGGTTTTTGTCTCTTAGCATTTGTAGAATAGAAGTAAAATCTTTTTTAAGTGCACATGATTTTAAATTGTTTAATATTCATGCATTTTTGTACACTTATCCCAGATTCACAAGGCGCAATTTACCGAGGCTTCATTGATGTTCTTAAATTTACAGTAGTGAGTTGGTCAACTTTAAACACTTGGTCCAGAAATTTTTTGGAAACATAAAAGTTCCCACCATTAATAGTGCATAAAATCCCTCAGCAATTTGTGGTGAAAAAGAGATACGGCAAGAGATCTAATTCGCCTTAAATTGTGAGACCATTTCTGCTGCTTTACAGTTAGACTTGATGAAACAAACAAATCTCCCCACAGGCTGTTCTTATGAAATTGCAGGATTTATGCCATTAATACAAATTAATCTTGCAGAAATTTATGACTAATTATCTCATGTCCTAAGAACTATGTTATGGTCCTGACTTACCACTCTGCCTTGAAGACCCAGTGATGGAATAATGGAAGTGTAGTCCTAATTCTGTTTCCAGTTGTTCTGGATGGTTCTTTAAATTTAAATTTATAAATTTATCTTTTCCTGCCTTAGTCTGTTCTCTCTTCCTTTTTTTTTTATTTCTTTCTGTTTCTAATTTGGCTTTGATTTACCCTATTTCCTTTTCTGCCATTCACTCAATTTCTTTCTCACCCTTAAATTTAGTTGCTTCAGGAGCTAGATCTTTGGACCTGATGTTCACAAGTTTCCAGGTGCGCTTTTGACATAGCCACATGGTAATTGATGTGCATTTCCAGCACTTTAGGTGCATAAGTAATATAATTTGAATGGTGAGGAGAAAATTCCAATTTATGACACTCAGTATGAGATGCCCCACTCTATCAGATTCTGGGCCAATGAATAAGTTGCAGTTTGTGAGGTATGTGACAAATGCCACTGATTAAGCTGGTGCAGTTTCAATTGCAGTTGCAGTAATGAAAACTTCATCTACTTCAATAATACCACACTAAGAATTGCAGGTTTTGTATGCCAGTCAGGGTCACAGGCATCATCTAGGAAAAAGCATTGTGGGTCACCATCTGTTTTTACTTAATTGAATTCTATGACAAAAATCTGAGACAGTTAATTCTAGAAATTATTTCTGGCATAAACAAAGGGGTGGTAAGCTATAGGATTGAAGAGAAGCAGCAGCTAAGGTCCATTTTGTCAAAAGCATTGAATTCAAATCTTCCTACTTATATCTGCTGAACAGATATAATATTTTTTAAAAATACTTGGTGTCAAACATCTTTTGCACTTGCAGAGAATCCTACCAGGCCTCCTGTACCTCATGGGACTGTGGGTCACCTTTAATGGTGGGGTCAGAATCTTTAACATCATGAATGAGGATCTTTATATGTGCTGTGCAGATGGCTGAGGTGGGTCTAATCTGCATGATTGTCCCTAAAGAGTAAATGTTGATGAATCAGCTAGGTGGGTCCTCAGGCCAAAGTGTTCTTTCTGGTTTACTCAGCAATTTTGCAGTTTGCAAAGTAAGCTTAGAAGTAGCAAAACTTGAACAGTTAAGTACGAGCTGAAGCGCAGAAGTTAAAGACTCTGCTTTAACGAGTGCCAGAAATGTTAAAATGTGTCTAATGTATGGGAGAAAATGTTGACCTTAGTTTTTTGTGTAAAATTAGTGCTGAGTTTTCACACTGCTAGCAAAACAAAGTTGGATCCTATTTTAAATAAGAGATAACAAGGTGTAGAGCTGGATGAACACAGCAGGCCAAGCAGCATCAGAGGAGCAGGAAAGCTGACGTTTTGGGCCTAGACCCTTCTTCAGAAAT